GGCAAACTGTACGCTCTTCGGGTGCTTAGCCTCAGATCCAACTATCTCAGTGGAAACCTCCCTACCGACATAACTTCACTTCCTTCTCTTCAGTACTTGTATCTCCAGCACAATGGCTTGTCTGGTGAGCTAACTTCATCATTCTCTGACCAGCTAATTGTCTTGGACTTGTCTTATAACTCTTTCACCGGGAACATCCCGCTTGGAGTCAAGAACTCGTCTCAGCTCACCGTGTTGTACCTCCAGAACAACTCTTTCGCTGGCCCGGTTACTTTTGTTGATCTCCCGAGTGTCAAGGTTCTGAATTTAAGCTATAATAACTTGAGTGGATCCATACCCGATCCTCTCAAGAACTTTCCAAAGGATTCGTTCCTCGGAAACTCTTTGTTATGTGGTTTGCCTCTCAAGCCATGCAATGGAAAGGCCTTTTCCCCGTCGCTTTCACCTGGAAACTTGCCAAGACCACTATCAGAGAATCTTCATCCCCAAAAGAGGAAAATGAGAAGAACTTACATGATTATCATAGCCGTTGGATGCTCTGCAGCTTTTCTCCTTCTGGGAATAGCTTTCTTTGTTTGTCTTATGAAAAAGCCAGCGAGAGAAGAAGGAGAAGGAGAAGGCAATGGACGGCAAGAGACGGGAGGCGTAAACGAGAAGAAGCCTAAGGACTTTGGGAGTGGCGTTCAAGATCCCGAGAAGAACAAGCTCTTCTTCTTCGAAGGATGCAACTACAGCTTCGATCTCGAGGATCTTCTGAAAGCTTCTGCCGAAGTTCTCGGCAAAGGAAGCTTCGGGACAGCGTACAAGGCTGTGCTAGAGGACAGTACGGCTGTCGTGGTGAAGCGGCTTAGAGAGGTCATGGCCACGAAGAGAGAGTTCGAACAGCAAATGGAGATCGTCGGTAAGATTAACGGCCACCCGAACATTGTACCGCTTCTCGCTTACTACTATTCGAAAGACGAGAAGCTCTTGGTTTACAAGTACATGTCCAATGGAAGCTTGTTCAGCCTCTTGCATGGTGAGTCTTCTCCATATTTAACCACACCAACTTATCATGGGACCTCCATTGTTGATTTATCTCGAGATTTCATGAAAAAACTCTTTTTTTTTTTGCAGGAAACAGAGAAGGAGGAAGAGATGTAGATTGGGAAACGAGAATGAGGATCGTTATGGGGACATCGAAAGCCATTTCTTACCTTCACTCGTTCAAATGCATCCATGGAAACATCAAATCATCCAACATTCTCCTCACTCAAGACCTGGAGCCGTGCCTATCCGACACAGCCCTCGTGCCACTCTTCAACATCCTCACCAACACTCCACGAACCATAGGCTACAACGCTCCGGAAGTGATCGAGACGAGGAAAGTCAGCCAGAAATCGGACGTTTACAGCTTCGGAGTCCTGCTCCTGGAGATGCTGACGGGGAAAACTCCTCTGACGCAGTCGGGTCTGGACGATGAACATGTAGTGGTCGATCTGCCGAGATGGGTTCGGTCCGTCGTGAGGGAAGAGTGGACAGCAGAAGTGTTCGATGTCGAGCTGTTGAGGTTTCAGAACATCGAGGAAGAGATGGTTCAGATGCTTCAGATCGCGTTGGCTTGCGTCTCGAAGGTTCCAGACTCTCGTCCTCAGATGGAGGAAGTTTCGAAGATGATCGAAGATGTTAGAAGATCTGATCCAAACAACAGAACATCCTCTGAAGCCGAATCAAGTGTCTAGAAAGAAAACAAAACCCACTTCGATTTGATTCCATCCTTTTAAGATTTTGCTGTCTGAAGGGAAGAGATTCTCAGATCCCACGAATTAAGATTGTGTTTTAAGGCTTCCCCACTTTGTTCATGCCAATCTATGAGAAATAAGATTCAATTTCTCAACCTGCATTAACATTTAACACTATATCATATCATGGAATTTACTATTAGCAATTTAGCATAACTTGCAGTGACCCAAAAGTCATAGTTGCAATAAGATTAAAGGGTCTTTTTTTTTACCATAAGGTATCAAATCATATGCTCCATCAAAACTAAGCAATAATTATTTCACTTTTCACCACTTGTTGATACACAGTTTTCAGAAGTACAGATTCAATCTCAATCAAATGATACCCTTTTGCATCAGGATCAAGAAATGGGTACATATTCAATAATCATCAAGGCTTTAAATTTTTTATTTTACTGCAAGATACACCCTGCAGAGGTCGCAGCTTTGATCAGAAAGCCGAAGAACACGAAGGGGTTAGAGAAGAAGGGGCAATGGTCACTGTCCATAACGTACACTTGACTCGGCGGCCACCTCCTTATCATAGCGTCTTGCTGCTCTGGTTTCACCACACGATCTTGCATTGTCTTGATGTACACCCTCGGAATTCCCTCTAAACCCTTTTCTTCTTCTTCGTCTTCTTCTTCTCCGTCGAATTTTGCTGTTGTGAGTGCGAGAATCGGGGCTGGCCTCATCAGTAACGCGGCCAGCGCACAGTCCTGCAGAAAACAGGCGAATAGACAGCGGAAGAAACGTCAGAAACGTGTCGGATTCTTGATCATATGGTCATTTCAGAACCATGGCTTGATCACATGTACCTGTTGAGGGCTTGTCTGATAGAGAAGTTTGCGTTGGAAATCGGGTTTGATGAGGGCGCTGGTCGGAGGGTTTTCAGGTCCTAACCCGAACCCGAGCTCGTAAACTTCACCATGTTCAGACAGATCAGGACTTCCCTGTAACGCAGCAGAGTAAGTCAGCCTTTGCTTTTGATGCACGGATCAATAAAAAGGGTCACCTCGAAATCAACCGATAACTCCATTTTCGATCAATCATGAAGCTCACGTAGCTGTAAAAAGTTGGATATGTTTTTTTTTTTTACATCTTTCAAGTCTTGATCAGTCTGAAACCCGAACTTGAGCATCGATGCAGCAACGTAAACAGCCAAAGAGATCTTCTCGGGGAATCTCCGAGTCGCCTTCGTAACGCTAAGCCCTCCGGCGCTGTGACCCACCAATATAACCTGACACAGAACGAATCACAGTTCACTTCAGATTCAAGAACTAACAAACATGTTCAGACATATGCAGAAGGAAACAGGCAGTTTTATGTGTGAGACCTGACCTGTTCGTCTTCGGACAAGGAGGATAGGAAGCGGACGAGAGGCTGATTGTAATCGTCGAAGGAGGAGAGAGAGTCGGCGGAGGAGAGATCGACGCCGGAGGATTTCAGGTCGATGCAAGTGACGGAGAAGCCGGAGACTTCCATTAGGCATTTTATCTTGTACCAACACCATCCTCCCAAGCTCATGCCGTGTATCAACACGAAGTGGGCTCTTCGTTTCTGCGCTTTCACGGCCGTTCCTTCTTCTTCTCCTGCCATGGCTGCGGAGCTTTTAGGTTTTCTTTGTGGGTTTTCTTTTCCTTCCTGTAATGGCGTCTATACACACAGAGACAGGTGCAGAGGAAGAGGGTCACTCGCTCTTGACAAAACCTTGTGTAAGATATTGCGTATTGGGAAAAAATGGAGTTTTTTTTATAAGGAGAAAAAAAACACCTTGATTTATCCAAGGTTACAGAAATTCAAGTTCATGATGCATTTCGCATAGTTCGTATCGCAGTATAATTTTTTTTAATTGAATATGTTATAATATATATTATTAAATATTGACAGACAGTTACATGATAATCATGATATTGCCAAAACCGTACTTGGAAATTTTGTGAACTGTCATTCAGAAAACGTTGGAAAAAACTATATTTCTAGAAAATAATAAAAGTATAATTTTTTACCTCGAATGTTTTTTTTTCTTTATGGGTAAATATTTTAATGTGTTTATTTAGCTTCGAAATCTCTATTTCTTGCTATAAATATGGGATTTTATTTGGTTAATGATATATTTTATTCCCCCTTTTTTTCGTGGATTTTTTTTTAGTTGGAATAGTCAAAGAGTAATTAGTTTCTCTTCTGACTATAAATTTTCGCGTGTTTTTAATTAAATACATGGTGTATATTTTTCTTGGTAGATCTATATTAATATGTTACATTTATGTGTACTACTACTATATATATATATATATATAATTATAGAAGTATTTGTCTATTTTCATCGGATACAAAAAAAAATATCTAACAAAATATTGACGTTATTCACTAAAATTAATTAGTAGAAAAAAACAGGATATTTTATTCGATAATATATATCTATCTCATGATAGGCCTCCAATATAACTCCGAATCTAATCCATTTCAAGAAGAAAAAAATGTCTTGATCCATAAAACTACCGACCCCTAAAACCTTTGTCTAAAATTAATAATATATATATATATATATATATATATATTATCATTTCTTCTCTCTTTTGTTTTACACGATATTTCCTTTTTTTGTATTTATTAATTATTAAAAAAATCAAGAGCTTATATCAAACTTTATATTTTGGGAGTCAGTGGATAATGGCAAAAAGCTGTCAAAACTAAACTATATATATGTTTTTATATTTATATATATATATATATAGTATTATAATTTAGTGCATGAAACAATTGAGATATGAGATAATTAACCAAAAAAAGGTTTTCGATTTGTTACAAAAAAAATGATTAATAGCTGTCAAAACGTGTAATAATATGTTGTCATTCGAGGTTTATTTCACGTGATGTTTTCGAATCCCTAAACTCAGAAACTACTTATATATTTAAATTACCAAAATCATCAAGCAGAAAAAAGAAAATTAAATAATTTAAAAAGAAAATGAAATAAGGTGAAAATAATTAGGCACTGATTGCAAAAAAAAAAAAAGATAAAAAGAGGCAGAGGAACAGTGTCTCTTTCGAATTTCTTTTCAGTAACGTCTCTTTCTGGTTTTGTTGAATCTCCATAATTTCCGGTTTTCTTCGGTTTCTTTTTGTTGAATAATTCCAAAATCGAAGTTGTATAATTCCCATTTTTAAGCAAAACAATGATTTTGTTTCTTTACATAATAGTCAATAATACAAAAAAAAAAAAAATCGTGAACAAATTTTCCGGTTCTTATAATTTTATTTTCTTTTATCATTTTTATTAAAGATTATTTCGATCCCTTTTCAAGTGTATCTGTTAGTATTGGTACGGTAAAATACGATATGTTATGTTTAGATATGTACGAGATATCTAAATATTATCATTAATTAACAACATAAATTATATTTTTTTTTAACATCATGCGATATCATCAACGGTTGGTTTCGAATAAGGAAAAATATCAGATCGTGAAATAGAAATATTATTATTTTCGGCATATGTAAAACTGCAATTTCTATAATCTTTCTAAAAACGTCGTCCACTTCTACGTGACTGTTGACCTTTTTTTTCCAATTATAATATAAACTCCGAATTAAATAAAGTGTAGAGATGAGAAAATTGACGTGGTCGGGTGGTTATTTCAGGTTTTGATTCGGGTTCGGTTTTGGATTATTTGGATTTGGTTATTTCGGTTATAAAAAAATTATATATAACCATTTGGTTTTTATATAAAAACTTTGGTTCAGTTATTTTTCGGTTCGGTTTTGATAAAATAATCATTTTTCAATGAAATTGTCGGTTTTTTCCGTTTTTTTTTAATTCGGTTCGGTTTTTTTTTTGAATTTAAAAAAATCATAACCGTTTATTTTAATGTCATTATTTCTAGATGCGACTGATAAATATAATTTTCGAACAAACAAATAAAAGAGACAGGAAAAATGCGAAAGGCATAAAGAAGAAGTGGTGAAAATGGTCTGAACAAAACATGTGCTGAAAAGAAAGCATCGCAGTGGCCACAAACCCAATAAAAATAAATAAATAAAAATAATGATAATGGAATCGGTTCTTTTATTTTTTATTAGTGTTGTTCTGAATTATTGTCATTCACTATTTATGAAAAAAAAAACATATATAAATATTATATCTGAATAAATTTGTATTCGACCGTGTATATTTCAATGACTTTACAAGCCAATATATATTTTTGGTTTCGTTTTTTTGCAATATTAGGCAACACATTTATATTTAATCAATTTAGTCCACCTTAGGCTAGAATTCCACTCTTATTTCGTTAATTTTATGAAGAATGTTGAAATAAACCATGATTCTATATATAGTTTGGCATCTCAACAAACCATAAATTTCTGATAAATGGGAGATTAATATGTGATAAGTATATATCTTGATAGACAGTTCATTTTAAAATAACCCACAAATTCATAATGCATTTCATCGTAATTTTTGGTATAAACTATGAAATTGTTAGGAATAATATCCGATTAAATTAATGTATATTTATGGATATTTAGGTGTGGGTTCATATGTCATTGGCAATAACACACACGCAGAAACACATTATAGATAGATGGAGCCATTGGCAAAAGTGGGAGATCCATCTTTGCTTTGTCCGAAAAAAAAAAGTGTTGATTGTGGTGCTTTTATTTGTAACCACTAACCACCCAATTCATTCCGCATTCTAATATGGAAATTCAAGAGATATATGGACTGTATATATTAGTCTAAGCATTTGCCGTATTCATGATATAGTTGGGCTTGAACAATTTATTTTGTAGCATAAGGGGTAGGGTTGTCAATTTGGATCCGAGACCCGAAACCCGGCCCGATCCAGCCTGAAAAATAACGATCTTCGGGCCGAAATTTCTTGGTCTAAAAAAAAAATCGGACTTTTGGGCCGAGCTCAAATCGAGTTTCGGACTCGAGTTGGGCCGGCCGAAATCCCAAAATTTTTTATTAAAAAAACATTTACAAAGGGAGGCTCGCGGGCCGGCCTGATTTTTTCGGGCCTATATAATTAAGGCCGAAATCCGGTCCTATATATTCTGGGCTCGGGTCGGGTCGGATTGGACCGGCCCGATTGACACCCCTGATAAGAGGATTAAAATTGGCCACTATATCAAAATAAAAATTATAAATTATAAATGATATATAAGTTGCACAACTTGTGAATAATCATTCTTGTTGACATGTGATATAAGATCCAGTATATCAGATTTTGATTAGATTGTCATTTTTATTCGGATTTTATCCACTTTAGGAATATATTTTCTTGCAGCAAATATATACAGTCAGAGGATGCCTGAAGTTGGAACCAGCCAATGTGAAAATTATACTTACTATGCAAATATTTTAATATTAATAATAATATCTGAATTTCTTTTTTTTTTTTAATTAATTGTTCCTGTAACACATCACTTAATGAAATACGAAAGTGAAATCTCACCAACCCATCTGAATAATATCAATTTTACCTGAATCTACGTAGATCACTGTATATATATATACATAATTTACTAATAAATCCACTCGAAATTGTTTTTATATTAAAATAAAATATGTACGACTTCACGATAATTTACTCATAGAACATTAATTTTACAATAGAATTTTCAGAATATATTTCTTTATATAATTATTAATATCATATTATCCTAAATGGTATGTGCATATGTAGTTTACAATGGACATTTTTATATGCAACCGTGTTAGTTTTCAAAATAAAAATATCATTGAATATATGGAAGAGTTTAAATTAGGATTCGATTTAAACTATATATTTGGGTAATAATTTTTAAATTTTAGAATATTATATTTATATATTTTTTAATGTTGAATTCTGTTTCATTTTGAATTAGATTTTTCTATAAAAAATGAAAAGGGTAAAATAGGGGCGGGCAGACACTGACATGGACACAAGTGTCTGATATGATTGTAGCCGTACCAATTTCAATTGAGCGGTCCAAAATTCGAAGCTAAGGAAACGCGCACACGCACACAAGTTCATGCTGTGACCAATTTAATCGAGGGCTCCTAAATTCGAAGCTAAGGAAAGCATTTTTTTTATAAAAAAAAACGATGGTGGGACAATGACACTGATACCATCACAATCTCCATTATTATTATTATTATTTATTTTTATTTATTTTTTGTTACTTTATAATATAAAGCTTTTATAATAACAACCCTCGTAAGCTTGTTGGCCCGCCTATATATATCGCGGTATTTAGTATTTACCATTGAGATTGTGGATCGAAGATTAGGAAGACGACCCATCTTATGATATGGAGAAACATATATATATATATATACACACACATACAAAGAAATGTAATTTAAAAAAAAAAATATGATTTGGTTTTTCCAAAGTCGAAATTCATCGTTTCTCTCTTGTGGAACGCATTAGAATATAAGAACTGGTTTAATTCGATTTCATATGCATTATTTTGATACGTATATATATATAGTAATTCAGTTTCAATAAATGGGTTATATATATATATTTTATGGTAATAAAGTGTGTATATCTACGGATAAAAAGAGAGAGGGGTACAGGCTGTCACATGATGAAGTGATGTATGAAAAACTCAAAACTTGTCATTGGGCCAAAAACTATGTCGGAAGCTACAAACTCAGGGAAAATGGCAAACATTTGAATCCCAAAGACCGCCATTTCCTCTTCGCTATCCGACAAAGTTTTCCCTCTCTTTTTCCCCTTTGTCCCCCAACCTTTCGTCTCCTAACCCTAATTCCTATCTTCTACAAAAACCCCCTGTTTTCTCCGCTCTGAAAAATCCAGCCTTTTTTCTCTCTCTCAATCTCATCAACGATCAGGTCAGTCCAGGTCTCTCTCCGATTTGCCAATCGATTTTTTTTTTGTTACTCGAGGTTTTTCAGGGTGACGAGGTTATGGATCCGACGAGGGTCATTTAGTGTGTCTGATCAGTTCTCGTATATCTTCCGTCACATATGTCTGGTTTTCTGAGAAATTCGTTGAAGGTCTGAAGCTCTGGGTTCCTCTGATTTCGTCCCCAGATGACCAGAATGGTTCAAAAGTTGTCATTTTTTCCCCTCTCGAATCTCGATCCAATAAAATATCTGATGCAGGGAACGTGTTTACTTGTCAACCGAACTTTATTACAAAACATTCTGAGCAGATTTGATCATTTTTTGACTAGATGAATGTAATAATTTTCTTCAACTCCTTTTTTTTTCCCTCAGATCCCCAGGTAAGCTTATTTAATAACTAATTTATTGTTTCTTTTAAATTTCTCAGTAGGATCTCTAAGTTAGTTAAGAAAAAGCAATTTATCAGGAAGATCTCCATAAGGTTCTCTGATTAACTGTATAAGTTCTTACTTTTGCTGCAAAAGTTATGGATCTGTCTAGATTTGCTTGCTTGGTCATTGTTTCACAATCTCTATATGATCTGTTTCTGCATATTTGTTTGTGTGTAGATGGACGCTCACACAAGGGCTGCGTCAGAAAACTTGGGTTCATGTCGCTGGCCCGAGAATTCCAAATGGGTTGCAGAAGTTTTAACAGGTAGAATCCCCCTTGATTCGTATCACTTATGATGCTGGTTTATGCATATAACAAGTACAAAACCTTAACCTTGCTTGATCTACTTCATGGTTAGCTGTTGAAGGTGTGGATAAAAGATGGTTATGTGTTGCAGAGATGGATCGAAATATCCAAAAGATGTTGAAACTGGTAGTAGAGAACGATGAATCCTCGGCAGTGAATCACGAGGAGAATCAATCTGAGTCGTCGGGGAATGCCAAGGAATTTAACTGCATCTATAGGTCTCTTGCTGAGCGTTATGACCAGTTATCTCAGGAGCTGCTGAAGAGTGCCCATCTGTCAGGTTCAGACCACAATGCTTCTTCCCCTGCAACTCCAAGAGGGCACTTGGGCTCACTCAAGTCTGGTAGACTGCCTGTCTCTTTCGGTTCTGGTAGCGGCAGTTCCGATATTTCACTTAATGTAGATTCCGACTCTTCTTCTGAGTTTGAATCGGAATCAGGAGCCTTTTACTCGTCTCTCAATCACCACCTGGTCTCTCCTGGAACCGGTGAAAGCCTAAGCCAGGTGGTGAAAGAAGGAGAGAACTCTCTTGGGGAAGAAAGCTCTACGAAGATAATGAAACAGTTGAGTTACAGAGAACTGACGAAGAAAATTGCCGAGTACGAGGAAGACTTGAGGACTGTCAACTTTAAGCTCCAAGATTCAGAACGCGAGATCGAGAAACTCAAGGCCGAGATTAAGAAGAGCGAGTGTGCAGTTGCACTTGCCGAGAACCTGAGTGCTGAGCTTGAAAAAGCAGGCAGAGAAATAGAACTAAGGGATGCAGTGATCGGGACTGAAAAAAGACGGGTCTTTGAGCTGCAAGGGCAGGTGCTTGACTTGGAGACTAAACTCGCGGACTCAAGTTTAAAGTTTGAGAATTTAGTGAGTGAGCTCGAGGTGAGTAGAGAATGTCTTGATGCATCAGATGCAGAGATTTCAAAGCTAAGGGAAATGTTGAGTGATTGCCAGCAGAATTTCTCTGCTGAGAAACAAAGAATGGAGACCGATATCGCTTGCTTGTTAGAAAGGCAGGATTTCTTAGATGCTCGGGCCAGAGAACTCGAGTCCTATGCAAAGTCGTTGGATGATCAAATCAGGAACTCTAATACCGAGAAAACGGTAATGGGAGCTTCATTTCAGGCAAAAGAGGCTCAGTGGCAAGCTGAAATCACTACCCTGAAGATAGATTTAGCCTCACGGGCCGAGCATATTGAAACCTTGAACAAAGACTTTGACAAGCACAAGCTGAGTTACGACATGCTCAGAGCGGAGAAAGACGAGGTCTCTGCCAAAGCAGACAATCTAAACGCAGAACTGAGATCAAGAAACATACAGATCGGGCAAATGGAGGAACACCTGAACCAGTTGCAGCATAAGCAGAATGAACACGTGTCTGAATCAGGAACCGCCAAGAGACTCTCAGAAGAATTGAGGGTCAGAGTCCAGGAACTCGAAAAAGAGGCTGAGTTGCAGAGAAATGCGATATCGGAAGGAGAAGAAGAGAAAAGAGAAGCGATAAGACAACTGTGTTTCTCTCTAGATCATTACAGAAGCGGATACAGACAGCTTGTACGGTCACTCTCCAGCAACAACAACAAGAGACAAGTAGCCATTGCCGTGTGAATCAGATTTTGCTACTGTGTTCATTCATTACAGTAAGTTTCCTAGTTTATATAATCTCTATCAATATCTTGTCTTTATATCCTGTAATGTTCTTCAGACAAAAACACATCTTCCCTCAGTTTGTTCTTCCGAAGAATTTAATGTTAGTAAAAGTAAAAAAAAAAAAAAAAGTATGATTTCAGTATATACACTGACCAAACTGGTTCACAAACGAAGGTTCTTTAATCTTGTTGTGTGACGTAAGGATGACGTCAAGACAGTTGATAGAGAGATTGAGATGAAAAAGTCAAAAAAGGCAAAACCTGAGATCTCTAATCTTCCAAAATCTCTCAATGTCAAATGGATGTTGACTTTCATCTTTTGCTTTTTTTGGGGTTAAATCGTAATTAACTTTTTTGTTTCGTGTTTGTTTGGTGGTGATAGTTATGCTTTGCGTTGGGCAATCAGCTTTAAGACATTGTGATGTGTGAAAATTTGAATCTTAATGTTATGCAGATTAATGTAAGTATGATTTTATATTGCCATATTGCGTCTTGATATATCATATATTATACTCCTGTCTTTTTGTTTGTATCGAATATCGATTTATTATAAATCAAGATGAGTGAAAACCCATGAAAATTTGAAACTTTTTTTATATATATATACATACATACATACATATATATATGGAATAAAGTCCGAAAGAGTATGGAATTGAATGTGCATACGTGGTTTGAATTCGGTATTACAAATATGAAAATGGTTTCCTTCCAATCTACTTTATGTTGACGGACAACTTATTTTCCTTTTTTGGTCAATAAGTTATTACAACTTCAAATGACATTATACAATATACGATTGACTATATGGTGCGGTCGCAATTGTATGATTGCTTTCATACAATATATATATAAAACATTTCATGTTATGCGTCTTGTATATGCGTATTTTGGTATGTGGATGCAAATACATCAACGTTTGCCATTATAACTCTAGTCTCTATCCAGTTCGAGTCGAGTAGGTAACTGTTTTTTTTTTCTTCTGTCTTCTCTCTGTTTTTTTTTTTGTTCATTACGGCCGGCCCCCATCGTCTTCAACTTCTAGTTCTGTCTTTAAGTCTGTTGCAGATTTTTTTTTTAAAGAACCCAAGAAATGGGTTTTGTTTAATGGCGGAGAACGAGTCATGGGTTTGACTCAGAGATCAGAGAAACTTCCAAAAAAAAGAGCTTTCTTAACACAGAAAACAAGAGACTTTTCTCCCAACGAAAACGAGGGAAAAAAAACCCACATCGAATTTGTGTTTTTTTCTTCTTCTTCATAGTTCTTCTACTTCGCGCCCACGACAAGGGGTTTTCTCTCTCTCTCTGTCCATTTGTTTTATTTCAACTTCTGGGTCTGCTTCATTCTCTCTCTTGACCTCTCGAGATTCCATGAAAGAGCTTATTTTCTGTTCTTTCTCCTCCTTCTAGATCCGACAGGTATGAGTTGTGTTCATCATCTCGTGTCTTGTGTCTTCAGCGTTGTTTGCCTGGTTTTAATTCGTTCTGGTCTTGTTTCATCACTCGATCCGGATTACGACTCGGGTTCTCGAACTCAGTCCCAAGAATTTTTCAAATTATCAATGAATCACGGAAAAAAAAATCTTTTTTTTATTGAGTCGAGTTTAATTATCGCACAATTATGCCCGGTTGACCTTGATTTTACTGGTTACAATGATGCTTGCTTGCTCAATATCCTGCAAACGCATTAACTCAACAAAAGTTTCGACTTTTTCTTTTCTCTGCACATTAGGGTTCTTCATCGTCTCCCTGCGGATGTTTTGATTTTAAAAAGAAAAACGTGGAGCCCAAGTAGCTTTTTTCCGTACAACAATGGCGAATGGAACGAACCCGAAAGTCCGTTTCGTGAAGTGTCCGAGGTGCTTGAGGGTTCTGCTCGAGGACGAAGACGTACCTGTGTACCAATGCGGTGGCTGTTCCACCATTCTTCAAGGTAATCCATCCATCCCCACAAGCTCGTCAGTTTCAGTTTCTGTCATAGAATTTCTGTCCAAATCCTCGTACAAGCTACTGAATCTGATTCTTGGAACTTGGTTGGTTGGATTCTGAATGGCATGTTTCTTCCGTGTAGCGAAAAACCGGAACATCAGTGCCAATGGTACATCGAGCTCAGCAGAAGCAGAAGGGACTAGCAGCACGAGCCCTGACATGGCTGTTCCTTCATCGGGAGAGTATTCTGCGGGCAAAGATCACGAGAATGGCCAGAATGGAACTGTGGATACCATAGATGAGCAGCTCGGTGGAATCAAATTGTCTAATGGAGGAGAGATCTCCAGTTCGGAGGCTGACCAGGATGAAGCTGAGGTTGTAGTTGCAGAACAAGGTTCCAACTCGGGAAGCTCAAGCATTGATCATGTCACAGCTGCTGCAAGAGCTGAGTACTCTCCCGAGATTCTTACGGCTTCTCCTGACGAAGAGGAGCACGATCAAAGGAGTGATTACCATGTCCATCCTTACGAAAGCGGAGAGTTTCTTGCAAAGAAAACCGTTTCCGCTTATGATGGAAGCGTGTCTTCATCTGACGGAAGGGAAGATCAACTCCAAGACGGCCAAATGGGTTTGTCTGCAAGTGTAGAAGATAGTGCAAGACTTTCTCTTGAAGGAAAAGCGAAAGGCAAATCTATAATTCAAGAACAGTCTGAGGGCAAGGAGCGAGACAAAAGTTCTTCGGCCATGTCACCTGAAGAGAAGCATAACAGGACCAGCCACAAGAACTCAGGTCAGAACACTTTCCTGCCACTACAAGGGTGGTCAGGAGACCATCTTGATAGGCACAGGCATAGACGAGGGACTCGGGAATTCCCGTCTTACATGCCTTACTATCAGAAAGGGCCGTCCTTTTCGAGTGCATACGAACATGGTAGCCCTTCCTATCACTCACGCCATTACTTTGATGTTCGTTCCCAGGCATTCTCACTCCAAATGCCTCCATACAGTGGAAACATGCATTCTGGACCTGGTATCGACAGAATGTATCATGGCATTAGTTATGGCATAAATACAAAGGTGGGCCGGACAAGCAGGGCCTCGGGTATACCGTTCTCAGGAGAGTCAGTGGTGAATAGAAGACACCACGTGGGTCACCCGTCTTGGTATTCAGATCAGCTCCATTTGTCTCATGGCTCATATCCTGGAAGTCCTCAGAGACATATGGAAAATGAGTACCGAACTGGATGGAGTCGGGACGTAGTCTCTGATGTGGAGGATCAGCAAAGGCGTGGCCGCCTTGAGGTACAGAGGTATCTGAGAGAAAGAAAACCCGTGGCCAAATGTCATATCCGTCCCACAGCAGGTGGTGCTCCTTTTGCGAGCTGCTATCATTGCTCACAGACATTACAACTGCCTGTAGACTTTCTCATCTCCAAGAGGAAGTATCATCTTCTCAGATGCGGAACTTGCTCGAATGTCCTGAGATTCTCCCTTCAGCATGGAACACATTTAGTTCCCGTCATCTTTTACCCTCAGCCCGAGTCGTCTCACGTCAGTTCAGTATCTGGAACTCCCAGAAACAAAGTTTCTAAACCGGAGAAGAGCTCCTCCACCGGTTATGAGGAGCTGCCGGTGGCTAGAGGTTCTCCACTTCACCGGCTAATGGGATACTCCACTGTGAGCCAAGTCTTTAAAGCTTCCCAGCGGCCCCCTTCTCTAAGGGTATCAGAGTATGATCAAACGCTGAAGAACTGAATCTACAAAGACACTGCTACTGCAAAGAGGAAGTTTTGCCTTAGATTCTCTCATTCTTTCTCCCACATTTGTATAGGTGAAGGATTTGTTTCTGCTGTTCATGTCAAAAGTAGAACAAACGATAGCATTTTTGCCATGTAAACATATTAAACACAAAAGGGCTCACAGATACTGCTTCCATGTCAAAGACAGGCAACAGAAGTTCTGCGACTTTCAGCATCGTGCTTTCTGAGACATAAGCACTAAAACCTAATCTTCCACATACAAGAAGTCGTCTTCTCCAGCAATTCGATCAATTTCGCTCATATATTCATCTCACAGAAAATCTATGGGTCTGTTCGCCGTCGAATGTGAATCTATCAACAATCCCCAAAATCGGATTCCGCGAACTGAAACAATGGTCGGGAATAGAACAAAACCAAGTGGGATCTAAGACCATTACCTGGATCCGCACTCCGAACGGAGACGATCTGAACTTCCGGCGACGGCAGACGGAGATTCTCCGGCCAATTTGATCTATGATACCCGAGACGTTAACTGAGTGAACTCGCCACGAGAGGTACACCTTAGACTTCACGGCGTCTTGGTCTTAAGGGAATCTACAACGTGTCGTTTTTCTATGATTTGTTTTATCCATCCGTTTTACATGATTTTTCAAAGGAGAAAAACATTAATCTCCCAAATAAATAAAAACTTTTTCTTTCACTACACAATTGTTTCCCATCATGATGATGGAAGCTACTATGCGTAATTCTTAATTTGGATTTTACGTGTATGTATATATATATATATATAATTTTCAAATTTTATTTATCTAAATATAGTTTTAACATTTTAGCTATGATTAGATAGTTTTATGTGGCAATATTATGTTTCATTTCATTTAGTGAAAATAAATGCATTTTATATTCAACATATATTACTACCTAAATGTTTACACACCACCTAAAATTAAAATTGGTTCGATAATCTTTCAAATATATATAGCAGGTTTTATGATCGAATTAATTAGAAATGTAGATTTAGACGGATAGAAAGTAATAATTAAATTAATCCTATTTTTTCTCTTGCGACGGAAAAGAAATTTCATGTCTAACATTACTGTTATCATTGTAATTATTAATAGAATCCCAAAACGGAGAAAATAAAATATTCCGTTCGTTGACCATTCCGTTCCTTGCTCGTCCTCTAGTTCCGTACAATGCCACGTGGCCTAATGGTAGGCAAACATGTGGGTCCCGCTACTGATCTCGTTCCCGGGCCCTACTCAAATTCACAGGCCTGGACCTGACGCCTGTCTGTCGGATACACGAAACGTCACCGTTCGCCTTGATATCTTCGTCACCTCGACGACGTCGTTTTCTCGTCGTTGTCTTCATCTTCCTCTCTTCGTCTCCGAGAAATTTCTCGCTCACCTCTCTATCTTCGAGATTCTCCCTCTGTTTTCCTTTAATCCGAAACCCTAATCGCCCCCCTGATACATGACTGATTACTCCGTTGATCCTTATTTTCAGGGTTAATTTTGACCATCCCATGTCAGGGAAAGAGCTTTCTCCAGTGCCGTTGCAGCAGCTGACCAAAGCCCCGGCGCCACTCGCCGTCCAAGATGCTGACCCGTTGCGGTTCCGGGTCGGTGATCCGGACCCTAAAACCCGCGAGTTCGCCGCTTTTATCGGTGATCACCGCCGGTACTTCGCAGCCGCCGCTGCCGCAGCCGCAGCAATCCATCATCCTCACCCCGAGTTCCGCCACGACTTCTACTCGGAGAATCCCGTTCATAGGGACCATCACGATAGCGGCGGATTGGACGTGGACGAGGACAACGAAGAGGGCGACGAAATGGACGGAGACGATGACTCCCATGTTGCAGGACTAGGCAACGCATCGAACAGAGAAGGTGCAGGGGAAGGTTCATCAGCAGGAGCATGTAAGAGGATCGGATTAGGTTTTTCGTGTTACCCTTTTTGGTTTCAGTCGTCAATTTCTGTTTTGGGGCCTTATCTTGTCTTTGTAATGGGAAATGTTTCTACTTTCGAGGTGTTAAGAACACAGTTGTGCGTGAAAAATGCTATGCAGTGACAATTGCAGACCCGGAAAACACAGTTTTCTACTCGCAGCAGTTCAAGACGACAGAAGCGAGTTCTGTCTCCAGGCATAGGGATGTGATGGCTTCGGAAAATGGGTGTGGTTTCAGCGGCAGGAAAGAAGCTTCTTCTTCAAGTAATTCAATTGATCCATTGAGGGCCATTTTATCTGATCCGACTACGTAAGTGGTTTTGGCTTGATTACTGGTTTTCTTTCCCGGTGCTTCAGTTCAGTATGGCGTTTATGTGGGTCCGTGCCATGCTTAGTTTCCATCATATATGCTATACAAACATCATGGACTGGAACTGCATGCATATGATAATTGGAGAACCCTTGGATTGGTGTTACCATGTCTGAGGTTTTAGCATGCTCTTGTGTCAAACATAATATTCTCTTTTCAAAATCCAGTGGGGCTCTGATGGATGATGCGATGATTCTGCCGTGTGGCCATTCTTTCGGAGCTGGAGGGATAGAACGAGTTAAACAGATGGTATTGGTTTTGTTTCTTAGATCACAATGATTTTGGTTCTTGCATGTTTCTTAGATCCCATTCGTCTTCTGATATCGATATCTTTCCCGGCAATGTTTTCTCAGAAAGCTTGCTGCAGTTGTTCACAGCCAGTTTCAGAAGACTCGATAACTCCAAATCTAAGTGAGTAATCGCTTCCCCTTCATGATTTGACATTTGATCGTCTCAGACGAACTCCTTGTCATTGTGCCCCTGGAATTGTCCAGCTCTGCGAGTGGCTGTACAAGCATTTTGCCGAGAAGAAAACTTACTTTTCAATCGCTCGTCCAAGAGAAAACGAGAAGGGTCTGATCAGGTATTCTCCTCACTCACCGTATTGGTCTCTCACATTTCTTTCTGTTTTCTTTTTTGGCTAATGCGTCTCCTTTTCTACATGCTGGACAAGCGCGCCTTTGGTAATTCAAATTCGTCATGTCATCCCAGAAATAGAAGCAATCATTTCCCATTTTCTGTAGCAGATCGAGTCATAATAAAGGTAAATCACTTCTTCCCCATCACGGCTTTTACAGCAACGGGTATACTGGCTTAATCTCAGAGAGGATGTTAACTGTTGTGAGTCAGGGAAACAAGAGGACACCGGCTCGTTTTGTTGGACGGGAAGCTGTTGTCACTACTCAGTGCTTGAACGGCTGGTAAAGATCGCATCTTTCTTCCGCAAACGATGATTCGAATTAGCATAAGCTCTTTCTGTACAATCTTGTAAAATACGTATTCGTCTCGGAGTATATTTGTAAAAAAGGAGTACATACTTTGTTGCAGGTATGTGGTAAAGACGCTTGACAATGCAGAGAGCGTGAAGCTTCAGTACCGTTCACTGGCAAAGATGCCGGAAGATCCATCAGCCATGGCAGTGGCGGCGGCACCGGCACCGAGCAAGACGGTCTCGAACTGGCTCTAAGAAAAGCATTGGAGAGGAGGGAGATTGCTGTATAAAATACTGTTGTACATGGTAGCAGTAGTAGTAGTAGACGTTGTTGTTCCATTGCTGGATGTTTGAGGAAACCCTAGGATGACATCCATCCACTCCAGACTTTTAAAGGCTTTAACAAGGTCTGAAACGAATCAAAGATCTCTGTCTGGATATATTTCCGACTACCGAAGCTGATCTGTCGCTGTAAACTTTAGATTCGGTCTGATTTCTTAAGATCCGAATAAGGATGAATCATATGAAATTTCTCCTCTATCTATATTCGAAAAGTTAGATTCTCTTCATCTGTAACAATAGACCATGTCCAACTCTTTTCAAACTCGCTTTAGCTAGGGTGGACAAAAATTCAGAATTTCGGATTTCCGACGGAATGAGATATGAGGTCGGATAATGATATTGGAATATTCGAATTTTCAAATTCGGATTCGGATAATTAATATTGTCTCGCGGGTACCAACGGATACCAGACAATACATAATTATCCTTTAAATTTTAGAATTTACATGTATTTATGAATATATTATTATGTATATATAATTTTTTTTAAAGATGAACTCATTATCTTCATATTTTCTCTCTTTTATTTAAAATTTAATAGTTAAATCTATAACTCTATTATAGATTTAGATTAATTTTTATTATAGATTTAGATTTTGTGTTATGTTATTTGATTTTAATGATTATGTATAGATATTGGTTGATAGATTCATGATGCATTTAAAAAAAATTTAAATTTATTGTAAAATCTTTGGTTTCGAATACTCGCGAATACCCGATAATTATCTCACGGGTTTTTTAATTGGATACCCAACTTCACGGTTACGAATTTAGGTAATAAAATATATAGCCCGACACATTTGGATTCAAATTGGAATACCGTAAAGTTTTCGGTTAGACAACCCGTTTCCGCCCCTGCCTTACAGAAAAAGCAATACAACATATTTGATTAAAACTTGGAATGTATGATTTCTTGGGACCCAAGTCACCATAAAACTCCGTCTCCCACAGGGAAAAGTCGCGTGCTCTTACAATTCCTATCGTTTTTTGGTAAAAAAGAAAAAAGAAAAAGAAAAAAAAGTGTTTCCACTTTGTTTCAGGAGTTTGGAAACCTAAATCCTTCTGATACGAGGAATTCGATCGTTGCCTTCTATATAAACCACACATCTGGTGTTCTTCTCCTCTTCAGTCCACTGTCGTTCTCTCTCTCTCTCTCTCTCTCTCTCTCTCTCTCTCTCTCGGCTTACTTGAAGATGAATACTTGCTGTCGAAACCTGCCGCCGAAACTGAGGGAGTGCATGAGAAGAGAGATAAAGGAGTCGGCGGATCTCGAAGAGCTCGTCAGGGTGGCTCTGGAAGATGCTCGTGTTGCCTCCTCCAAAGGGCATGACTCCATCTCCCGCCAAGCCGGCAGATGCGTCCACGTCCTCCGCCTCATCAAATCTCTCCCGCCAAACCCTCCTTCCTCCGTCCTCTCCCCTCTCGAGTTTCTTGCCAAGCACGCTAACCCTGCTATCAGCTCCGAGGCAAGATCTGTGCTTCACCACTGGCGGGACATAGAATCCTGTTCTTCTTGCTCGATATCTGATATGAACAGCGAAGAATCCGTCGGATCTGTGCTTCACCACTGGCGGGACATAGAATCCTGTTCTTCTTGCTCGATATCTGATATGAACAGCGAAGAATCCGTCGGTTCTTTCTCGGAAGAAGGATCGCATGATTCGCATCTTTCTCAACCAGCTGCCCATGTCTGAAGCCTCGGAAGGAAACTGATGTCTGGAGGAAGACATCAGTTTTCTTCTTCTGTTTCAGCTCTGTATCTATCTGCTGTCTTGCCTTTTTTAATGGCTTGGTGATGGAACCTTTGTTATCTTTTTAATGCAATCTTCTCTTCTGTTATGTTGAAACAAATTTATAGAATGAAAACCAAATAAAACATATGGTCCCTAATGTTACAGATATGGAACCTCACTAACCAAGAACTGGGAAAAAGTTAATCTAGAGGTTATCCTCTGGAAGGGTAGACATCATTTGATCAGAAAACCCGGCTGGCATGTTTGAAAAACTTGAAGACGTCGGTCCGTGTATATGATTTTCAGGTACAGGTTAGATTCTCTTTCGACGTTAGAAAACTGCACGTCGAGTATATGGAGGCCGCAGCTGCCCTGACGGCTATTTCCTTCTCCGAGCTCGGTTTATCCGCACATCTGCGCCACAAACCAGATATCATCAGCAAAATGAAAATGAAAATTCCCGAAAAAGATTGATCTGTGATACCTCGAGTCCAATGGCATTCCGAGCTGTACGAAATTTTGTCCGGAACTCGTGCTCAGGTGTTGCAGACCCTGATCACAGTGTGACTGCAGTTCTCTCACTTGAACCAACCAGCTTTCCTGAACCGAAAATCCAAAACTTTTCGGAATAAGATTAAAAACGAAAAGGGACAAATCTCCGGGTGTTTGTGCTCATGAATCTCTGCAGATAAGTTGAAAGTCGGAACTATGTTATAACATACAAGTTGTTTTTCTTCTTCTGCAAGTGTTAGTTCCATTTGATTAAACAGTGATGCCCATCTCGCCTTGTGTATGCCAGCTCTCGAAGTTGGGCCGTTCTCTTGATTAGACGGGAATTCTTTCTGTATTAGGAATGGCAGCTCGGTGTTAATGACAGCCCGGACCCTCTTCCTGCTACGGCGAAGTGCTGCAAAGTACAGAAGAGAAGACTTCAAAGATCATTCAAGCCTGCAACTTTCCCGGTTCAAGAAATGAGAGTAAATGGGTTTTTGTTACCCGAAACACGCCCTTTGATGTCCTGGTGAAGCAATTCCAGCCACTGAGAAGCCACTGTAGCAGCTGTAAATCGAAACAACGATCCCTTTAGTCAAAGTCCAAGTACAAAGGGACAGGACAACACAGATTTCTGTCAGGAACTCAAGAATGGACCTTTGACAGTAAGAACACTTGCACAGCTAATGTCTGCTGAAACTTCTGTGGACAAGGAACTGATATTTTCCGGGCACTTAGCTTTCGACTGAACCCTCAACCCGAGTGTTTTGTCTTCTCCACCGATTGTGTCAACTGTGGTCAAGCCGCCATCTCTGCAATTCTCCTCATGATTCCTTGTAGGATACATATCCAGTGGCATAAACCACTTGTCAGCTTGGTTCAACTCGAATCTTGACCTGTCACTGTTCGTATCTTCTATGATCTTGGTACCCCCACTTGCCATTCCATTGTGCCTATTTTGGCCTCGGTGAAAACTTCCACAATCTTTTTCGGACTTGACAAGGTTTTCGATGATGGAAAGGACCTGCTTTTTGTTCCTCACATGGTATATAATCCCCGGGTTCAGCTCATTGAGCAGCCCACTAGGAGCAGCAAGCTTTGCAAACCTATCGACTTCTTCCTTCATCGCCATCTCTATTTTCCTCCTCTTCAACGCATCGTTCTTGCTTTTCCTACCTCGTTTTCTCGGAGCTGGTATCCCTCCATGAGAAGACGAGACGAAACAGCTCGATGCAGATGAAATCCCACCGTGTGGATTAGAAAGAAAACCGTTCCTTTTCATCTCTTTCCACAGCTTCATCGGATCTTTATCCTCAACCGGAGCATTAGAACTTCCACACTCAGAGAAAACATCCCTAGACTTTGAGTTACCATCTACCCTGGAGGAAGTGCAGACTGATAATTCATCATTGACGGAGCTGGAAACGGTATCTGCATTGAGGTCTAATCCAATTCCTTTCTGTGCCTCACCACCCTTATCAAATCTCTCGAGCAAAAACTTCTTCCCGCTACCGATTGATGCTGGATCAAGGACAACACCATTGCCTGACCGGAGATCAAGCTGTCTGATTGAACAGAGGGTGGCGGTATCTGCGATATATAAACAAGACCACCAACACTGATCAAGGCATCCACACTGATCCTAGGCCTTGACAGATATAACATATTAGACTAGGATTCTATCCTATGTGATTATGTTTCAAGCAATCAAATTTCAGGAAATGAGGCATGCTCGAATAAAGGAATCGGGCAAAGGAAATTACCAGAATCTAAATTCGGGTCAAGGCGTGGGATTTTAGGGCAAAAGTCGTCTCTTTCGACCAATTCCTCACTGCTTCGCTCCTCGTCTACAATCTTAAACCCGCAAAACCCAAAAGCGAAATTCGAACGTCAGCAATCCGATGAAACCACTTCGGAGGAAAAAAAACCGGGACAAAAAATAAAGAACTGACCTTTGAATCGGATCTAGAATTCCAGGAAAACCCTCCGGACACGTCGCCTTGTTCTTCCATGGGTACTCGGGGAAATTGGAAGATTCCGGATATGGGTATTACAGATTCATCAAATATCCGAGGAAAAGCAACGAGAAAATGGATAACGAAAACTGGGTTATTGGATTTGACTAGGGTTTGTTGTCAGATCTGCTACGGAATTCGCTTCTGGGCAAAAATTCAATCTTTTGGTAGGATATTTTGATTTTAGCCTGAGGAGAAGAAGAAGAAGAGCGCGCCTATGGTGGGTGTTGCTTATTCAAATCCTCTGACAGAAACACAAACAAAAGAGGAACTGCGTGTGTGTTTTTTGAAAACTTTTTTCTGGGATTTTGAGGTTTTTCAAATTCAAACAGAGATTCCTTTTCAGTTTGGAGGGAATTGTTTTTGTATGGGCCAAGATTGAAGATTCCTTGTCATTGAGTTCAAAACCTGAGCCCTTTTTTTTTCTTCTTAATTTTTCATCACCCCCTCCTCCACCCCCTTTTAAAAAAATAAAATTTAAATCACGAACAAATAAAAAGTGATTTTTATAATGTGTTTGATTTATATTAGTTCATGTAGTAAGGATGATTTAGATCGATTATGTCCAATTATCTTAATTTGTTTTATTCTCTTTTTTATTTTTGTGTTAGAGATTTTGTCTTTAATGTATTTGAGTTTCGTACGATTTAATTTTACTTTCCTTTCATTTCATTTCATTTGCTCTAAATTTTGTATGACCGTGATTTCATTGTATTAATTGTTTTCCCTTTTTTTTTTTACAATTCGACTTTAAATAAAGCTAATGTTAAATTCAGTTAACAACGATTATCATCAATTTATCATAGTCATATATACATATATATATTGAATTTAGTATGGATTACTATATGGCGTTGGAATATATGGCCGGTTTAAATCGATTTATTTTGGTTTAATTTTATTAACGACAACATGGATTTAAAATATTTACCCAGAAGAGAAGATATTGGGTTTGGGCCAGAGAAATAAGAAAGCCCAAAATTGGAATAATAAATCCAAAAGTCCAACCCTTTTGGAAGCCTTTTAGATTAAAAAAAAAAAGTGAAAATTCGGCCTTACACGATAATCCACCGTTCGATTCAATTGTGTAAGATCCAACGGTGGAAAACGTTTTCCTTTTTCATTGCGAGGCGGTGTTAGGATCCAACGGGCAAATCTGAAAACCTATATATTATTCGCTTATTTCACGTTTATTCACAGGTCCTTTTTTTTCATTCGCTTCGTCTTCCGGCGATTTTGAATCCGATCGCTTTCTTCTTCCAGCTCCGGCGATTTCGACTCTTTCCGTTTCATCACCGATTTCTTTCGCTTCCAGGCGATTTTGAATCGTCTCTTTCTGATCTTGAATCTTTCCGTTTCATCACCGATTTCTATTGACCTTGGAGAGCCCTGGTGAGCTTTCTGAGGTCATATTTCTGAAATTTGTTGTGTGGGGTTTTCTGGTGGCCGTGCCTTGATGGGTTTTAGTTTTCAGGTTTCTATTCCTCTCGGTTAACTTTTGAAGGCTCAGTACCATGGCGACTGGCTCGCTTATCCATACTTTCACATCTAAGGGTTCTGTTCTCTCGTTCTTTCTCCATTAGCTTTGCATCCTTGTTCAATCTTCCTCTCGGTGTCCGAAAGGAATTGCTTGGGCTTTTTCCTGGGTCTTTCTCTTTCTTCTTTTGAATCTCTCTCTTTCTTCTTGATTTCTGCGGAGTCTTGTCTTGCATTCAGGTCGTCCGTTCCGTCTTGAAAATCTATGTCGACCTGTCGAAGCTCGTCTTAAAAGGGAACATGGTCTGGTCCAACATCTTCTTTTGGGATCGTGAAGCTGTTCTTCACGTTTCAAGATACATTTTCTCCATGGTAGGTAGGTACTTCTTTAGAATTTTTTTTTAGTTCTTGTGCTCTGCTCAGATCTTCTGTGAGTGACTGTGGTCTCGTTTGTTTTGATTGGACATGGCACTTGAATCATGCGGTGGAGGCGAGCTTTTCGACCGGATAGAGTAAATGCTTTTTGTCTTTTTCTCTCTTTTTGGAAATTTGAAGTTTTAGATGAAACCAAGTGTTGTTCTTGCGTGTGGATTCCAACGGAGTTGTGATGATTCAAATTCTAGTCGGAGATTTTCTATTTATGAGTTTGTATTGGGCACTGTTCTGTTTCTTATTCTTTTTTTTGCCAGAAAGGTTGACCTTCAGAGGATGAAGCTCAGTTCTACATTGCTGAGGTTGTGGATTCTCTGAATATATACATGATATGGGACTGATCCATTAAGGTAAATCTTTCCACATTTTCTTCGCAGCAGTGAATCCTCGTCATGGTCAGTGTTCAACGGTTTCTCGAAACTGCAGCCGGAGAATCTGTTGCTTATTTCATATGGTCACATCAAGATTGGTGATTTTGGTAGTGTAAAGCCCATGCAAGACAGCCGAGCAACCGTGCTCCCAAATGCAGCCTATGGTAAAATTTATCCGGACACTGTTTCCATTGAGCTCAAAAGTCTTTTATCGAGATATTATTGTGACATTCTTGATTAATCCCCTTTTTATTTTACCCGAGTTGACATATACAGATGATAAGGCATGCACTTTGGTCGGGACTGCTTCGTATGTTACTCCTGAAGTTCTGAGTTCATCTCCAGCAACATTTGGGTAAGAGTTTATGAATATAGCTTTGGTGTCAAAGCAGCATTTCGGCTTTCTGGATTTCGTGTCGTACGGAATCCAATTTCTTTTGGTACGTTTTGAACATATTCAAACAGAAATGATCTATAGGCACTCGGCTGCAGTGTGTACCAAATGCTTTCAGGAACAGCTCCTTTCAAGGATGCAAGTGAATGGCTGATTTTTCAAATAATTATTGGCAAAGATATAAAGTTCCCTCGTTATTTTACAGATGCGGCGAGAGATCTCATTGACCTTTTACTGGTAAGAGACACCGATCTATATATGCATTGTGGGTTCGATTTACCCGAGAAACATATCAGTTCTTTATTCTCAAGCTCATCTATTTGTGCAATGATTTTGGCTGTAAGGTTTCCTTATGGCTTCTGATTATAACATCTCGGGAATTTGGCTGTAATGGTTCACTACGGTTGCCGATTATACATGGGGAACTATAAAACATATGATTTCTCTATACGATTTAATTCAGGATACGGCAGAAGACTAGGTACCGGGCCAGAAGGTTATGCTGCTCTCAAGAGTCATCCTTTCTTTAAGGGCATTGACTGGAAGAATATACGGTCGCAGACCCCTCCAAAACTAGTTCTAGATCCTGTGGTAAATCATTTTATAGACTTTGAAACATCGGGAGTCTTAAGAAATTCAGATCAAATCGGTATCTCTTGCTCTTTTTTTATTCAGTCTGTAATCTTGCAGTATCAATCAGCATCTCCAGAGAGGGATGATGGCCATGGTTCTCCATGGAACCCAAACCACATTGGAAATGTTTCAGCCATGCAGAATGATGGGAATGGTGGTGGCCGCTCTGAATCATCAGGTTCGATAACCAGGCTTGCTTCCATAGACTCTTTTGATTCGAGATGGTAAGGGTTAGCAAAAGCAGTTTAGAAAAAAAGTGTACTCGTGCTGCAAATCTGTACCATTTTTGCTTATGACATTGTGCATAATCTTACAACAGAAAGAGAACCTAGTTTGTCGGGGTGTTTCGATGTTAACATTGGGCCTGAAGAGTTAAGCATTTTGTTTTGTTGACGGGCAACACTTTCTGGAACCAGGAGAATCAGGGATAATGATATCAGCAGTAAGAAGGTTCAGCTGATACTTACAGACAAACCCAAGATAATCTACGTCAACCTGTCAAAGCGCGTCGTCAAAGGGAACGAAATCTTTTCTTGAGCCCTTCCAATTTCAAGATCTGCACGGTAAGCCTTCCCCACGTGGATCAAATGGTTTCAGTTTCTTCTTCTCGTGTGGTTTTTTTTTCCATCAAATGATGAGAATTCACTCTGTTTCTTCATTTGTATTAGCAGCCAAAGAAGATGTTATCATTCGTAGCCATGCAACAGAGAGCAGCTCAATGGAAGAAAGCCATCAAGACTCTTCAGAATCGCTAAGACACTGCATGATTTGGCGGTTTCCATGTCTATTTGTTTGTTTCTTCTTCTCTCCACTTTTTTTCTACTGACAAAAACAGTTCTTGTGTTGTGTTGATGAGAAATACGATTGTCAGGACAAAGATGGAGGACACAGGATCTGTATACGCCCCGCAGATCATGGACAATAAAACAGCTCATGTTAAGTTGGTGAGGATCCTTATTGATCAACTTGAGCATCCTGGGATCGTTATGTTGTTCTTCACGTTTCAAGATACATTTTCTCTGGGTAGGTACTTCGTTTCCCCTTTTTTTTAAGTTCTTGTTCTCTGCTCCGCAAGTGACTTTGGTTTATTCTCACATCGATTTCTGTAAGTGATGCGTACTCGTCGTCCTCAACCAGCATCCCGGGAAGTTCATTCCTCTTCTGTGGGAGCATAGTTTCTTCTTTATTCTCCTTCGTTGGATTTAGATTTACCTTCTTTAAACCAGGATGATCTTGAGAATCAGATTTCAGGGGTTAGGATTCCGAAGTAGACCTGACGTATCGAAGAATCGGGTCGTTGTTGATGAAGAAGAGAGGAGGTATGAGTTCACTTACTGTTTAATTTTGAAAATTTGCTTGAAGTCTTATGTTATATTTTGTTCTATAATGAATGACCCTTTGTCCAATATTCAAATATTTTTCAAACCAAAAAACAAAATATTGGCATATTTTAGATTATATGTTTCAGATTCGTTTTGGCATTTGTCCATTTTTTAAGTTCTGATGGATTTATAGACCTATAATTACTTCATGATAGCTTCAGTATAGGTTTGGTTTGGGTCAAGCTCCACTTGTCATTGAGTGCAGACTTAAACCATTTTTCTTATTCCTAAATTGTCATCCGTCCCTTCATTTTTAATAAATAAAATTTAAATCACTATATTTGAATTTATAGATTTAAATATATTTGTAAAAGAAATCGAATAAATCCAATAAAAAATTTAAAGTTTTCTCATTTCATCTTATGGTATCATTTGTTTTCTTTTATTTTTATATTTTATTTTCAAATTAGTTTTCCTTTAATAATAACATATGATAATTTTTAAGTCAAAATTTTTACTTATATAAATTTACTGTAGATTTAAAGAGAGAAGAATTAGAATCGAAAATCGTATGAAACCAAATTAAAATTAATCGAAATGATATTAACAGTCTCACATATTATATTTGTTTGATGGCTTATGAATCTATAAATATCTTTCTCGGATGGTTGGATTTTTATCATGGAATTTAATTGGATCTATAATACATTAAATTCTATTGTATTAAAGACGATCAGACACCCAACAAATTAACTATAAGGATGAGGTCTTTTTATGGAATTTAAAAAAAATTTATTAGACTTACTATGAGATATAATCTATCACAATATTATACTCGAGTTTTGTATAAATAAGAATTTTAGATGTACCAGAAAACACCAATGAGGTGATGAAATGGAAAAAAGTAGAGACAATCACATTATTTCTTTAAAGAATATGATTTGTTTGTCAATTTTTTGAAATTTAATTATGATTTTTTAAATTTAAAACAAAAAACTATAAACTATAAGTTTCGGAACATTCACAATTATTTTTTCATGTTTGTGGATTGTAAATGAACTTTTCTAATTTGTTGAATGCCAAAAAATATGATTTTGGCATAACATAATTTTGGATTTTTCGTGCATTTTAAGTAAAACAGAAGTTGTACACAAGTCATTCTAACCTTTACGATAATGGAAGAAATGGAAAAGACTGTTAATGTAAAATACCAAAAATGACCTTAGGTTCAAATATTGCCAAAAATTTCCTTTTTATGACAAAAAAAAATTGTTGATTTATAAATTGCATTTTCTCTATGTAGATACTTTTTGCGGGGAAAAAAACTTTCGGAAAGAAGAAACAAATGTTAAAGCTCGATTTGTTGAAATGCTACCCAATTCATTTAGATACTTCTGCTTCTGGATTTCTATTTTCCATATAATGTATCTTTATCAGTGGAAGAAAGCTATCTCTTCAAAATTGTCTCCATTTTTCTCCGTGCAGATAAGATAATTTTCTTACAGATTTTCTTCACAATGTTGTATAATATTTCTTGTGTATCAGTTATAACTACCACATCTTACTAGATTTCAGCAGTTCTCAGCATTGCAAAAAGATTTTGGCTGAAATGATGATATTCTGATTAGAAAAGATGAGTATATTCTTCATATTCTCGTCATTGGTGATTGCGGAAAAAAAGGTATTATTGTGCCCCTTAAACTTGCATCTCCCGAAGTTCACTCCTCCTCTGTTGGAGTATGGTTTCTTTGTTAGTCTCCTCCATTGGATTAGTTAGAGAAAACAATCTCTTTTTCCATTTCTCTGTGTTTTAGGTTGTTTTGTTAAACTTTGCTAGATTTTCTTTGAAATCTATGCTCTTATTTGAGTATGATTTGGATTTATTTTCTTTAAATCAAAGATGATCTTGAGAACCATATTTCAAGGTTAGGCTCCCGAAGTAGACGTGAAGCATCATATTGGAGAATCGGGTCGTTGTCGATGAAGAAGAGAGGAGGTATGGATTTGTATATTGATTAATTTTGAAAATTTACTTAAATTTTTATATTTCATTGGTTATATTTTGTTCTAATGAACTTTTGTCAAATATTCAATTATTTTCAAACATAAAAATAAAATATTCATATATTTTAGATTATTTGTTTCAAACTCGTTTTGATAATCATCTATTTTTAAAAGTTTTGAGAATCAAAATTTAATTCCCTATGAGTTTCTCTCTATTTATAAATTGCTCTTATCCATCTTGTTATTGCATCTTCATGGTGGAAAAACTTCTCTTTGTGTAGATTGAGTAGTTGTTTATAATAGATAAAATGCAGATGGATCTTCTTTATAATATAGATTTTATGTTTAAAAGAATGGTAAAATCCATAAAAATTTCTGAACTTGTAAAACGACATAACACAAATTGTTAAATTTTTTTTTTGATAAATTTATTTCCAAATTTACAGAATATGGCATTATAATTTCCAAATTTGTTAATTGGTGTCATTATAATTCTCAAATTTATTAATTAGTATCAAAAGAAACCTCGGCGATTTTTATTCAAAAACAAGTTTGGTAATTATAATAATACATTTTACAAGTTTAAAAATTATAATAACTCATTTTGAAATTTATTTTCCGCCATTTTACAAATTCAGTTGTCAACTATATATTTTATAGAAATGGCAAACCAAGTCGAAAAATTTCTGATACAAATGTTCAATTGATTCAAACTTGTTTAGTAAGAGAATTTTTATGGATTTTACCCTTAAAAGAACTTGTATTTTGTGTTCATATAGAGTTCTTATAGTATTTGTCATAGATTGAACTTTATGGTATGTTGAATTGTATATAGTTGAAACGTCTCAATGTGATATTATTTGTTTTCTTTTATTTTTATATATTATTTTCAAATTATTTTTCCTTAAATAATAATATATGATACCTTTCAAGTCAATTTTTAATTTATATAAATTTACTATAGATTTAATTAGGGAAAATATCATATTAATTGGGATAAATACTATTTTAGAATAAATTCTAATTTATAAAAGATATGCCTGAGCAGGCATCCTCCTCCTCTAGCAAATTAACTATTATGGTGAGATCTACTTATGGAGCTTAAAGAGAATTTATTAGACTTATTATGAGATATGATAAAGATAAAATTATGTGCAGCTCTTATACATATTAATAATGTGTTTAGATGTATAAGAAAACACCAATGCGCTGATGAAATGGAAAGAGGGAGACAAATCACATGTTATTTCTTTAACATTCATATTAAAATTTCATAACATGTAACATCAAAATTTATCAGATGAAAGGAAAAACATAGATATTTGTAAGCTAAAGGCTCCAAATAATTCCCAAAACATGTTCTTCAGAAATTTTTATTATAAAAAATATTAATTATGGTAGAGAAAAGCTTGTTCGTTTCCCTTATATCACACGGGAGTATACTTCTGGAGCCAGTCGAGGGGTTGCAACGGCATGCAATGGCTTGGCCAAGAAGAGGTCGCCCTCACTCTCTGAAATGTCGATTTTGCCCTCGCCACCACCCGGCACGGTCCAACTGAACCCTTGAACCAGCCGAGCCAACAGCATGATCGTCATGACCGAGCCAAGGCTCACACCCATGCACCCACGTCGTCCCGTGCTGAACGAAAGGAAATTCAGATCCGGCTCGTTCAGTTCCACGCTCGTGTTTCCGTTTCTCAAGTGCCTCCCTGGTTCGAACCTAAGTGGATTGTCCCACACGCTAGGGTTTCTACCCAACCCTACTCGGCTTAACAGGACGTGGCTTCCCTTGGGGATGAAGTAACCGTCCACCACCGTATCGGCATTCGACACGTGAGGGAGGTTGAACGGCGCGACGGGATGCAGCCGGAACGCTTCCCTCGCGCACGCCTTCACATAAGTAAGGTTCGGGATATCGGACTCGAGGACAAGACGGTCTTTTCCCACCACCCTATCGATCTCCTCTGCCGCCTTCCGCATAATCTCCGGCTCGTTGATCATCTCCGCCATGGCCCATTCCGTCGCATTCGACGGATTATCCACTGTCGCCAACATTAGTTCCTGCAAACACGGATATGTTACTTAAGCAACAATTCACCATCAATAACACTACATAGTTTTTGAATAGAAACATACCGTAACTTGAGCTTTGATCTCATCATCTGTTAGCGCAGGCTTTCCATCACTGTCTTTGGCCATGATAAACATGTCGAGAAGATCTTGAGCTTCTGTCCTCTCCCCATGTCGCCATTGTCTGAGTCTCTCATCCACAAATGGATCATTGTACTTGCTGACATCCTCCATACCACGGCGAACGATCTTCTCATGACCGTCCAAGTCAAACGTCCTCAGCCACGGGACATAATCCGATAATATGAAGGAGTAAAGATGGGTAAGCACAGTAAACAGGGATTCAATGTGTTCGATCTCTTCGAACCCAGGCCCGGCCCCATCTTCAGTCCCTTTCCCGAAATGCCTTACCCCAAACAATATCTTTCTGGCCACATTTCCGCTGTATTGACGAGTCACGAGCCTCAGATCGATCAAAGCAGAACAATCACGACTGTTTCTGACACATTTGTTGTTGATGAACCTTGTCAGGTTGTCGGCCTCTTCGATTCTCTTCTCGTGCGTCCATTGGAGGGTCTTGGCATTGATCACGTGAGAGGCGACCATTTTCCTCATCTTCTTCCACTGTTCGCCCTGGGGAACGACCGCGATCGTCAAGTAGCCGCGGCTGCAGTACTCGGTCCCCATCGTGAGAGGCCTCGACGCGAAGACGGAGTCTTGCTTCTTAAGAAACTCCCGGGCGATTCTGGGTGAAGTCACGGGGATCACGTGAGTGTTAGCAAGGCGGATACAGGCGATTTCGGTGTTGAGCTCCTTCATGAGAGAGTGTATCCATCGGAATACCGGTTTGTTCCTCCTTATCTCCGGCAGGTTTCCGATTACGGGCCAAGGCTTTGGTCCCGGTGGGAGAGGAGGGTCGTTTCTTGCGCCGCAAGTCATCGTCGTGGCTGTCTTCTTCTTCTTCTGCGTCGCCGTTAGCGAGGCAATGAGAAACCCTAGAAGAGGGACGAGTAGGAAGGTGAAGAAAAACATCGCCATTGCCAACGGACGAAAATTATGTGAAAGCTTGAAAATAGTGCCGATGGAGCCAAAGGATCAAGGGAGGAGTTTTTTTTTTTTTTTTTTTTTTTTCGAGTACTGGTGAGTCTTATTTATACAGAGGATAAATTGAAAAATAAAAATAAAAATATGCATTATGTAATGAATTCGTGTTTATCAACATAGTTTTACCAAAAAAGGGCACGAGTATGTATCTGGACAGTGAAAGATTCTCCGTAACATATTGGATTCGTAATTTAAGTAGGAGATTGAAGGAAAGACACGTGTCGGTGTAATTTTAAGACCAACTATAATTTTGTACTATAAACACTCGAATTTTTTTTTTGTTTTAACAAATTGAGCCATTTTATTGCACTTCATACATATCCTGTTCATTTTCCTTTTATATCGCTTTTGTTTTGTAATGAATGAGAAAATATCTATAATTTTTCATTAACACGTCTCTTTTTTTAATCACTAAATATCTATTTCTTTTTGTGACAAATATATATATATATATATATATATAGTTATTGTTGTGATTTTTCCTTTTGTGGTTAAATGTTTAGATAGAAATTTTGTTCGTAATTGAGAAGAATAAAATAAAAATATTATTTTATAATAATAATTAGTTTTTGCATACATACATGCATGGCCGTCGGATGGCACGCGTACAGCATGCACATTTGTGTGGCCCTCGAAGTTTTTTTAATTATATGTTTCCTTTTATTGTCAGTTCTAACATACAAATTTAACAAACACTCGTAATTTAATAACTAAATCTAATCATCTTTGGCCCTACCCGTATGATTATTTTATATAAAAAATATGAATTGAGAATCATAGAGTTTACACAAATCCAATATATAGTATGTATAATAAACGTGTGTATAATAAGTGTGTATATATATATGTGCGTGTGTGTAATACAAGTACATATATTTGTATGAATATATGTGTATTAGTGTGTATATGCACGTGTATACCATAATTCATATTCCAAAGATAAATCATTTAATGCGAATTGTTTTAATTATCCAATCAACCGATTTTGAAACGGAATATTTGGTTTTTATTTGCTCTTCTTAGGCTTTTTATTTGCTATTGTTAGTATGAAAGGCAGTGATTCTGCTTGGAATTGAAACCGTTGAAATAATCTTTTTAAATCTTAAAATTAATTTGGATTTATAAAAAAAAAACGATAATTGTCATAGGCCCTGCCTGATTTTGTAAATGGAAAGCAGGCGCTAGTTGGGCCTAATTGGGCCTTTTAAGAAAATGTTAACGACATTTACAGGCCCATAGGCTCAATATTGTCATTCCATTTTAGTTTCGGTCATGACGCGCCTAAAACGCGCGTGTATCGCACGAACACTAACCGTTTGTAGGTAGGTAGGTAGAACGAGTGGCGTAGGATTGGCCACGCAACGCAAGAGCGTTTCCGTATTTATTATACATGCTTTTATCAGATTCCCCGAAGAGAAAATATATTATATATTTATACAGAAGCAAAAATAATATAAAATAAAGTAGAACTAAAACTTTTTACGACGAAATTTAAAAATCCACAAATTAATGTTCTTTGTGAAATTAAAAAATTCGTCTTTACAAAAAAAATCCTCCAAATGTGAAATTTGGCACATTATTGAAGAGTTTCAATTTACTTATCTTTAATTTATTGTTCTAATGAAAAAAAATGAAATAAATTTTTTTTTTCTTGAAAGGTTGGTTGAAGAAAATGAGAAATGGGAAACACAGGCTTTGAACGTTAGCAAGATTAGCGTACCTACCACCCTCCTTCGAGCCTTTGGGGATCATCTTTTACCAAACCCTACATTTATATTTTTTATTCACATTTTTTACATCAACATAAGAATAAATATGTGTATATATAAATAAATCTCGGAAGCCATCTGTTATGTGAGTCTCACTCTTCTCTTTGGTGCCGGCACTAGTGTTTGCCGAGAGACAAAATCTCATTACAAGTAAGTTTTTATATTTATTATTGTGTTTAATTTATATATTAAGAATGATTTTGCTTTGTGTTGTTTAGATTTTTGGGTCTTCTTAATTTTTGTATATTGATGTGAGATTATACAGTGGGGAGTGAGGTGGTAATGGTGCATGAAGTTCCATTTCCTTCGCAAATTGTCACCTCCAAACCTCTCTCTCTTATAGGTCAAGGTAATCAATCTTTAATTTCTTTAATTAGTTAACAAAAAAAGCTGTAATCTTTATTTTTTTTTTGGCTAAAATCACTTAATTATGGAATCGTATCATGTTTAATTTGTGAATAAACAGGGATTACAGATATTGAGATCCATTTCCTTCAAGTGAAGTTCACAGCAATCGGAGTTTACGTAGATTCATCAGATGTCGGACCACATCTCGGAAACTGGAAAGGCAAACCGGGAAATGCCCTCGTCGATGACGACGATTTCTTCCATGCCCTCGTCTCCGGTAACGTGAATCTACATGCATATAACCCTAACGACCAACAAAAATATCATAATAACATTTGATTTTTTTGTTGTTGTTGCTGCTGCTTTCAGCTCCTGTGGAGAAAATCGTAAGGGTTGTGGTGATAAAAGAGATAAAGGGTTCGCAGTACGGAGTTCAAATGGAGAATGCGGTGAGAGATCGGTTGGCGGAGGAAGACAAGTACGAGGAAGAAGAAGAAGCTGCGTTGGAGAAAGTGGTCGAGTTCTTCCAGTCAAAGTACTTCAAGAAAGACTCTCTCATCACTTACCACTTCCCTTCTGACTCCCGCTTCTGCGAGGTAAATCCGAATCTAAGTTCAACCATCGAATTCGGGTCAACGCTGACTGACCGCGTTTTGCGTTTCTGGACGCAGATAGCGTTTGCGACGGAGGGGAAAGAGGGGGCTAAGATGAAGGTCGAGAACGCCAACGTGGCGGAAATGATACAGAAATGGTATTTAGGCGGAAGCCGGGGAGTTTCGCCGTCGACGACAGCTTCCCTCGCCGGCGCGTTGTCGGCGATCTTGTCTTAATCTTACGTTGTAACTTTGTGTTGTTGTCTGGTCATAAAATGGGACTGCGCCCGGTTAAGCTTGAACCGGGTGATTGTTTGGTTTACTTAAATCGGTATGTGGTTTTGATTGGCGATATCCGGTTATCTCTCAGGCTTTTCGTTTAGACTTTTCTAAAAGCGATTATGAAAAAAAGGCAAAGAAAAATCTCTCAAATTTAAAGGTTTAATAATATTTTAATAAATTATATCGACAAGACAGTCTAGAATAATGGAAAATAAGAAAAAGTGAAATAATAATTTCGAAGATTCCATAATGGTGTGGGCAGCCCACAGAGATGACATATGATTCCTAATGTTACTTATTCTGCTCCAATGATGGTCCTTTCAAAATCAAATATACTAACAAAAATATTAATTTTTTTAAAATTATAATCTCCACTCTAATTTCTTCTGAAATTTATATTTCTTCCATCATAAAAAAAGAGCGATATAAAATTTTAATATATGAATCGATTAACAGTCAAACTACCTTAAAGCTCTCTTACTACATATGTGAGCATTTGTTTTTTTTGGTAAAGATGTATTTGTAACATGGGTTAATATATACGACATATGTTTGGAATTCCCCGTGGCTGGAATATTATAATTAAATATTGGGTTTTGATATATAAAAGCAAATAAAACAATATTTTACTATATTTGAATAAAACTTAATACGACAATCTATTAATATGATTTTTTAAAATTAAATTAAATGGATATAAATTAAATCTAAAATAATTAAAACGGCAAAAATACTATTTTATTTTGAAATTTTTTGAATCAGAACTCTATCCAAACAAAGATGAAATACATAAAAAATAATAAATAGATATATTTTTTTTTCTAAAATAAAAGAAATCACACATCATGTCAAAGAAAAACGTCAAAAGGAGAGCCTAACAAAGACAAGTTAATCAAAACTTCCTCTCTTACGGTTTTCATAACGCCCACTTGTAGAAATAAATCAAAGTTGATAATACATCATTATTTCATTTTATTTTATTTATTTTCTTCTAAATCACTCGTTTAAGATTATAAAGCGGAAAATAAATAGATTGAAACCATATAAATACTCTCACTATTTCCAAACTCATCACGTTATTATAATATTCACATTAACCATAACAAGAGGAAAGTGGAAATTAACCAAACCTTCTTGGTGAACTCCAATTTTCACAAGTAATCACATCCATTTACACTCCGTAAAAAAAAACAAGAACAAACCCATTTGATGATAAGCAAAAACGCTCAACCTACCTCGGCGGCGGCGGCTGCAGCCGCCGGAGCATTCACA